CCCCTTACCCAAACTGGCTCAGGTGTAAAACCCCCACCCTGGGAAGGCCACACACACAGGGGACAATGTCACACTTGCCCTGCTCCAGGGGAGGTCTCTGTCGCTGTCACTCCCTTAGTCTCTCCCCTTTTCTATTTCTTTCACTCTTTCTCTCCACCTCACATTTACTGTTCAATAGAGTACACTTTGGATGTGGCCTCATTAGCACCTTAATTGGGCAGAGGAATCTCTATAACAATTTGAGCAACCAGATTGCGACATTATTTTGGCACAGTGAATTCAGGACACTTGTCTGACTCCAAGTGCTTTTGACAAGAGCATGGTTCCCTTCTCTGAGGAGGTTGTGGTTTTTTCTGGAAGAACACTTGGAAACTTGGGCACAGTCCCTCCTTCTTCCTGGGGAACTTATGGGAGAAATGATGAGGAAAATGGCTGTTGTGAGTGGCCAGTGAAAAAGAAAATATTTTCTTGTCCTTCCCTGAAAAGTTTGTTAAAATCACTGGAGGAAAGAGAGAAAATGTTACCAGCGAGACTGACAAGGTTCATTCACTCCAAGGTGAAGAACATAAGGGGCTGCTGAAAGTCCCACAAGACACCCAGCTCAAGTAGATAAATTCCCAAATAACTCTGGAATTCACAGGCTTGAGGGCTTTATCAAATTTGAGAATCATTATTCTCTTCATTCCTGTCACCTTTTTGACAGCTACACTGAGTTTCTCCTTCCTTTTAATAATATTTGTATTGGGCCAAATTTGCGCTTTGCTTTTATTGGAACCTGCCAGCAGCTGAGCTGTAGCTATGCAGGAACCAATGTAACGTGGAATTGCAACAGAATTGCTTCTATTGTCAGTTTATTCATGTTTGGGATTTGTGTTTTCATCACATGTGACTTATGGGAAATCAAATATTCGTCAAGGTATTTTATGCAGGATAAAGTTTTATTTCCGCCAAGTTTATTTGGTCCAGTGCCCAGNTCTGGGCAAAAACCTTTTCCTGACATCCAACCTGAGACTGCCCCAACTCAGCTGCAGCCGTTCCCTCCAATCCTGTCCCTGGGCACCAGGGGGAAGAGGTTCCCACAGTCCCAGCCAGGGACCTGCTCCCTAGGCTGTTGCCATGGCCACCAGGGCTGGCACCAGCTGGGGTGCTCGGTTTCCACGGGCCAGGGTTCAGGAAAGGGATTCCCCAATTTCCTGCTCCTGCTAAAACCGCGCTGCCCTCACTGCCCTCCCACCTCCCCTGGAAAGCACAAAAGGCAAAGATCCTCGGCTGGGATAAGAACAATTTACTGGGAACAGCAACGAGATAAGGAACAAACAGAAACAGAAATAATATTGATAACAGAAGGGATAAGAAAAACTGTTTACAGGGAAGACTAATACATCAACAACAGGCTCTTCCTGGCCATGCATTTCCCCTGCCTGGAAAGGACACCCTTCTCCTCAGAGGGAGAGTAGGAGAGTCCCTTTCCTGCCCCTAACAATGACCTGAGGTGGGAGTAAATGTAATGACACAGCCATGGCCAGACCCTCATGTTCTTCCATCCCACATCATGTCTTTGGCAAGGGCAGGAAAAGGGACAGGTGTCTTCCCTGATGGATCAGAGGGAAAACCAGATGACCAGGGCTCTTCCCAATGTGGGCCCTCCAATGGGGGATGAAGCTGGAGTGGTGCATGAAGCTGTTCCTGCGTTTGTGGCATTTGCAGGGCTTCCCTTACTGATGGCTCCGGTGGTGTCTGGTCAATTGAGAGCTCTGGGTGAAGCTCTTCCCACACTGGGAACACTCGAAGGGCCTCTCCCCGGTGTGGATGCGTTGGTTGGTGATGAGGGTGGAGTTGTGCTTGAAGCCCATCCCACATTCAGGGCAGTGAAAAGGCATGTCATCTGTGTGAATCCGCTCATGCAGATGGAGATTTGAGCTGGTCTGAAACCTCTTCCCACATGTGGGACACTGGTAGGGCCTGTCCCCGGTGTGGATGCATTTGTGGGTCACAAGGGTGGATCTGCGGCTGAAGCCCTTCCCACACTCCCCACACTCGTAGGACCATTCCCCAGTGTGGATCATCTGGTGGCTGATCAGGGTGCTGCTCTGCCTGAAGCTCTTCCCACACTCCAAGCATTTGTGGGGCTTCTCCCCATCATGAAGCTGCTCACGGGCCACCAGCTCGGAACTCTGGCTGAAGCTCTGTCCACCTTCCTGGCTCAGGGTGAGTCTTTTCTCCTCAGAGCACACTGGGCTGGGTTTGGAGCCCCTCCTCATGTGGGATGTCTGAGGTTTTTCTTCCCTGTTGGATTCCTGTGC